CAATATTTAAAATATAAAAATGTTTTTGTACTTTTAAAGAAAAAACTATATAGTAGATATCCGATACATATGTAGCGTGTTTGTTTATTTTTTGAAAAACAAAATACGAAAAACCAAATTGAAATAATTATATTTCTAAAATGTAGTTTTATAAATATATAGAAAAAACATACATAGTGTGTGTTCGGACTATTTTTTTATGGGGGTACGAAATAGAAGCTGAGCGTAAACGCATATTTATTCAATTTTAAAACGTTATAACAGTTGTTCTTTTTAAGGGCTGGTTCGTAACGTGAAATTGGTCCACACTTTAGACCCGAAAGGTGCACCTATAAGCATATAAAGGACCGCATGTGGAATAAAAGTAGAACGTAAGCGTATATTTATTTGATTTATAAAAGTTGTAACGGAAAACAGTTTGAGGTCAGCGGCGTTAGTCCGTCAACGTTGACAGTAAGGTGACGTGGTCTGTGTGGACCGTGGGTCAGCCTCGGAGCATAAATATTTGAAACGTATGTAACTGTATGTATTTATTTGTTTTTAAAAAAGTGTAGGGCTGGGCCCGAGGGTGGCTGAGGCCCCGAGCCCGTACATAGGCCGTAGCCCGTAGGCCGTAGAAACTACTCACGACACCAAGTCACCCAGTCATCAACAGCCAACTGCAGTACTGCACTGTCAGAATTGTTTTTTTTTGAATTTTTTATTCAATCATAGCCTCCTAAATTGAACAATTCAACATTCTTCTGTTTCTAGAAAGTAAATACTTTTGAAATTATCATAGCCTTCTGAAGTCTGTGTCTATTTTTTAGAAGGCTATGGGCCTGGGGCTACATTATCGACATATTTATGCAAATATTTTTAAAAACAAACCAATATTGAAAAAAAAACCCCCCAATAAAAAAATCTAAGCGACAAAATCAAATCGTCCAAATGTTTTAAATGTGGAATCACCGAATCATGCAAATAAATAAATGAAAATCTAGAGAATGGTCAAGACTCGAAATCTACGAAAACCTGTACGTGGATGTATCACTCTTTCTTCCCAAAATCTCAAACTATGTATAAAAGGTGAAGTACAATTCAATAACCGAGCATTTTAAAGGGAGAAAGAAAAGTAGAATTTATAACCACACAAAGAAAAATGTTAGACGCCCATTCTAATAACGATGTCATTCATACTACCTCGGATGTCGGGATTAACCAAGATGGAACCTATACATCCACACTGGTGAGTGCAGTGGCTGGTGCCATCAGTGTACCTCTAACTGCATACAGTATTGCACATAGTGTAGTGTACGGCGACGAGGACGATAAATATGTCACAATCACTGACACACAAACGACGACTAAAGTAGACAAAGACTCTACGTCTAACGTTGACGTGACAGCCCGTAAGGTCAAGACAGAGTGTGACATAGCTCTCAGTTCGTCTAGCCACGAAAGTCTTGAAGATGTAGTACAAGGCACAGCTGCAACAATGCAAAACACCGGAGTTATGGTCCCAACGGGAGCCAATCAACAGACAGATACAGAAACGCGAGTACATTACTCGGTGAAATGTGCGACTAGTGGAGAATCGAGTGTGTCAGATATTGCCCAAAATGTCGAGAAGAACGATAAGGCTGATCTTGATACAGCTCCTGACCGCGAAATCGCAGATCCTATTGCAGTACAAGGTGTTGCCCCACACCTAGAGTTTACTGAAGGACAACTACATGATATTGCAAACGGAAGGCCCATGCGCGCGAAGAGCTCTGATCAGGACGTTGATCGTGACGAAGGGCGCACGAGTGTGAACCCCGGGAAGAGCGAGTTACAGAATATTGCGGGGGAAGTGTCGACAAATCCAGGAGAGGGAGCGTTGGAAGTAATTGCGGATGATATGGCGGCGCAGACTAGAGCTTCGGCTGAGAATGTCAATTCGGGTGAAGGTGAGCTAAAATTAATTGCGGAAGAGATGGCAACACAGGATAATACCGCGGCAACGAATGTGAACCCAGGAGAGGGTGAGTTGAAAATAGTTGCAGGAGATATGGCGGCACAGACTAGAGCTTCGGCCGAGAATGTAAACCCAGGAGAGAGTGAACTAAAAAGTGTTGCGGAAGAGATGGCGGCACAGACTAGAACTTCGGCCGAGAATGTAAACCCAGGAGAAGGTGAACTGAAATGTGTTGCGGAAGATATGGTGGCACATACTAGAGCTTCGGCCGAGAATGTAAATCCAGGAGAAGGTGAAGCTGGAAATAATTGCGGAAGATATGGCGGCACAGGCTAGAGCTTCGGCTGAGAATGTGAATCCAGGAGAAGGTGAGCTGGAAATAATTGCGGAAGATATGGCGGCACAGGCTAGAGCTTTGGCTGAGAATGTGAATACAGGAGAGGGTGAACTGAATATAATTGCGGACGAGATGGCGGCACAGGCTAGAGATTCAGATGATAATGTCAACCCAGGCGAGGGTGAGCTTCGAATGGTCTCAGAAGAGGCGGCAGACCGGGCTCAAGCTACGGCTGAGAATGTGAACCCAGGAGAGGGCGAGCTTCAGAGGATCGCTGAAGACGCAGCGGAGCGGACATGCATTGCAGCCGAGCAAGTGAATGTAAGTGAGGGCGAGCTACTCGATGTTGCACAAGACGCTGCCGAGCGAGCACGTGCTCAAGCAGAGGCGGTATTTGTAGAGGAGGGTGAATTGAATATGGATAATGCTGCAAACGCCTCCGAACCCCTGACCGCGAGCTCAGAAGACGATGAACAGAACCGAATTGCTGAGCTTCAAGCTGAGAAAGCAAGTCTAGAGGCACAAATGGCCAATGAGGGCGACGGTATGGTCCGAAGTATTGTTAACTACGCCTTGCAAGCAACGAATCTCCAGACTGCAGACGATACCGAAGGAGAGGAAAACTTGGAGAGGATTGCTGAGGTGGACGCAGAGATAAAAAAGGCTGAGCAAGAGAATGCACGCGAGAGATTTTTACGCGATCTAGCTGAAGTGCAGGCAAACGAAGCCACTGTGGGTGAGGAAGAGCTGGAGAGTACCGCTGGGAGTGTGACAGTCAATCAGGATGAGAAAAAACTTTTCAAACAAGATTCACTGTCTGATGACCAGAAGGAGATCACGGATATCGCTGAGAACGCTGCATCCCGCGTAGCGGAAGCAGTAGACAACGAGACCAAACCACCAGGTTTTGTAGTCGTCCCGGCAGAGGCGATGAAAGTGGATTTAAATGAGATAGATTGCAAAATTGGTAATCCGAAAGCTAAGAAGGAAGGTAATTTAGCGAAGGCACACAAGCTCATCGATAGAATTTTCCGAGATTCTAGTGAGGCTAAAATGTGTCTTGATAACAGTATCGCCGGCGCTGAAATGATGACAAGTTTGAATCCTTCTCGCAATGGTAGCGAATCAAATGCGGATAGAGAGACTGTACAGGTATATGACAAAGCGATTGTGCACTCGAACTCAGAGAACACATTGGAGAGTTTGGGCGATGATAACAACAATCTGGCGAATGATCCTCTGTCGAACAACAACACAGTAGCGATTGAGCCTGTTGAATGTCAAACGCCTGAGATAACTATAAATATCTCTGCCCCGCCCTCATCACTCCGTGAGGCATCGAATCCAGCCGCGCCTACGGAGGACTCAGCAGAGATGAACAAATCGTTCGAATCTTCGAGTTCTGAGAACGTTGTTGGCAAAGTATCAAGTGAGCAGCCCGCAACGGAGAAAATTGTCATCCAGAAGCAAACCTCTCTGCGGGTGATTGGTGATTTGACTGGTGCTACGGAGTTAGATATGGCGACGCCAGCGTGTTAAACATCACGTAGCAGGTATCAAAACTGATTTTTAGAAGTATTAGTGAAAAATCAGTTGTTTTGTATATATATATAATAAACATATCTGATAAAACATACATTTGCTGCATGCATAACTCTGGCATATTATTCTACCCTTGGTTATTGTTCATAATGAACATGCAATTTCAAATCAGCACTCGTTCATGTTTAGGACAGTCTTCATTTAAATCGAAACCTGCGAACTTGCGAACTTGCGGTGTGAACGTCTTTTGCCCACACTTCATCTCTATACTTCATCACACTGCTCACACTTCACACAAAACAGTACTTTCATCGCCACGGCCTGTGACGGACTGATTTGACAAATAATCAATGACGCACACATGACAAGACACGGTTTTAATAAAAATAAAACCAAATGAACCGCTAACACAATAATCAGATCCTTCGCCTCTTGTAGTACAAAGTATGAGTGTTATGAACGATAAGCACATGGCAATACCCGTTTCCGCCGAATGCTACGAAAGAGCTGCACAAACACTATTCTGGCTAGCATGTACAGTTTATGCATCAGAGGGGCATATCCACGCTTGGACTAGGTCATTCTTCGCTTATCAAGTGCTGCAACTAGTTTGTTGATTGTCCAGGATTATTATATATTAAAGCATAGAGCATTTGATAGCCAAATATACCGGCCAATAGATGAGTTAGACATCAGCATTGTTTAAGACATGCGTCTCGAATATGCAGAGACGTCACTGTTCATTGGATATATGCAATAAAATTACAATCGGTTCAAGCCTACACGAGACAAATGTAGCAAAGCAACTACCTGTAACTAATCTTGGTGTGCAGCATGCATATAAGTGCCACAGTCTAAATTATTTGTGCTCCGCCACGCGTAATCCTCGGAATTGAATATACAAACAAGTTGGTGTAGCTTGGACTTGGATTGGTTGTATCCAACTTGCTATTATTTATATTGAAACGCATTTTAATATCTACATCATGTTAGGGTTCTCTACGTCATCGTCCGGGTCTTGGTCTGCTGCATTCTTTGGCATTCTTGGGCCTCCAGCCTGTTTCGCCATAATAATTTGATCAATTGATAGCACCGTTGTCGCGGCGTTTGTAGCCAGCTTGATAGCCCACGACTGTTCCAGGAGAAAAAAGAAAAAAAAGAAAAAAGGGGGGTCATTCGCATGAAGAGTTCGTTGGTAGTTGTATTCGCAAATGAACCTGATACGCATAGCATTGATAATCTTATGTGACATAGTGCGAGATCGTACAAAACGCCAGTCTTATCCAATAAATGACGAAATCGAGCAGATGTAACAAGCCCACTTTCGTACCATAACAATCATACACACATAAGGCACTAAAACACATCGGCGAGCTAAAATACATTTGGAGTTCTTACCTTGACCTTTAGGTGATCTAGAATGAACGCGTCTTTAGCATCAATCAAGTCACCCTTAATCAGACCCTCAATGTCGAATCCCATATTTTGTCCACCGGCTTTATGTGAGGCGTACAACTTCGACACCAGCTCTGTTGACTGCGCAGCGTGGAATGGAAAGGACATAGCATGCGTTGGTGTGAACAAACATTACATACGTGCATGGTTGTACAGAGGTATATCTAAAAAATTAAACAGCACACAAATAGTGTATATTGCGTTCACAAGTTCGACACCAGCGTTCTTATCCAAACGAGGATACCCGGCTGCCTATTTACCAAGTCATTTGAAGGTCCCATGGGACAAAAGTACTATCGTAACACTGAACAGAAAGATGCCTCGGCCGCAAAGCATCCCGGAATTTGCAGAATATGATAGTAAAGCATTCGGAGATTTGCAGAATACGCTAGCAAAACATTCAGATGTGTGCAGAATATGCTATTAAATCATTCGGATATGTGCAGAATATGCTAGTAAAGAATTTGGATATGTACAGAATATGCTAGGAAAGCATTCGGATATGTGCAGCACTTGAGCGAACAACGACGTACGTCAGCTCCCGCGTTTGTGGCCAAAGTTCTAGGGATAGCTTCGAATGCACTGGCATAGTTCTTAATTGCGTATTGGTCTAATCCAGGGCAGGTCTCTCCGAACATCATAATTCTGTGAGAAGGCAACAGACGTGAAGGTAAATTAATTTTACAAATGTATATTTGAGATTCTGAGTTGGACAAAGTCTATGGATGAGACGAGGTGAGAAGTTTAAATATCAAGAATTGAATACATGACACAGACGAATTGAAGCACGTATCTACATAGGCGTGTGGAAGCTTTGAAGTTAATACTAGCGAGATACAGATGCAATCGCCAAACAAAACACGTACTCGCCTACAAGAACAGATATCAAGCAATGATATGAATTTACATAGATACAGTGAAAGACAAGTATATATATGTATATATGTAAATATATATATATCATGCATATACGTCTACAATTGTATATACATATACATAGATGCATACATACCTACATCCATACATATATATGTATATATAATACATCCATATTTATCAAAAACTATATCTGTATATATTATATATATAATGTATATGTATATGCACATGTATAATATATTTATTGTATTGGTAAATACGTAGCTCCCATTATAATCGCTGTATCCAAGCAACTTTATGAACAAATTGGATATTGCCTCCAGGTTCAATATTACTCGGCGCACCAACAAGTACCACAACAGATACTAGAGCGGACATTCCGTAGGCTACACGAGCACAATGAGTCTCCGCGACTAAAACGCTTTACAAATATCATAACGGTCTATGTTTGCGGTTCGCACGTGAAGTGAGGATACTTAAGCAGAAAGCGCTAAAAAAGGTTTGATTGGCGAACTACTGCTCACTGCATGAAAGTGTTTTAGTAAATATACAATACCGACATTCCCGAGGTATTCTGTGTTGAAAAATAATCATTCTCCATCAGCTGGTTACTAACACATATAAATAGATGATATAATAACATCATAATGGGTTACTAACACATAGATAAAAAATATAATAACATCATAATAAACCTTTTCACCACAAAGGCTTCATCATCAGTACCACAGTAATACACACCTTCTCGCCAGTTCGATTTCTGTGGCTCCTGCTCCCGCAACAAACCGTCCGTCCCGTGTAATCTGCTTGAAAACATTCACCGCATCATCAACGGCTCTGAGTAGAAGAAAATTTATTAGATTCTATTTTCACTAATTTCTATACGAATATGAATGCTTATACCTATTATATATATATATTATATATAAGAGGGTAAGGTCCAAGATGCAACAAATCATACATAGTAAGGCGAGTTGAGATCAGCCTTACAATAATATTCACATCGCCCTACACACATTCTGAAAAGTACATTTAAAAGGCTCGTATGCTATCAGGAAGATAGTTTGGGACACAATTTTTCAAATAGTCACCCCACATAAGAGCAGCACAAGCACTCCACGTCAAGTACATAAAACACTTGTATTTTCTATCCACACAGCAGAACCGATGTAGCTACGTACAATACATATACCGTCAGATGCTTCAAACGGTACCCACCTCTCTACATCGTCCAGAATGTTAGTCGTTGCACCTCGGATTATAATCGTAGCCAACTGCGTCGCGCTCTCGTCCTGCACAAACACTGTGGTCAACTGATCTCCAAACTCCTTAGTCTTCACCGAATCACAGTACCCGAACTCCTCCGGTGTAGGGGCACCCAGGCGAGCGAGTGCTGTGGCACCGATCACCTTGCACATACGTCTGAGGTCAAACTTGGACTGTACGCGAACGGTCATGATGTTGTACTTCTCCAGGTAGTGCACGGCCAAATCGCTCACAGAGGATCCAGCTACCACTACGTTTGTGCCGGCCTCGGCAATCTCTTTGATACACTGCGGCAAGAAAGCCGACGATGGAGAATGAGTATAAGAGTGTCCGCGCCCGCTATCAATACAAAGAAAATACAAACACACATACATGCATACACCTAGCCTCAAATACGTGAGAATCTTAAATTACCTGTATAAATGTTAATGTATGTACACGGAGGTTGTGAAAGCGAAATTCATCTCATTAATACATCATTTTCCAAATACATAGTTATAGATATATATGTATATATATGTTGAAGATACTCAATACATATACAAGGACTCGCAAATATCTCGAGGTCCATTAAGGCGACGTAACAAAGGAACAGTGTGAAACTAGGCATATAAGATGCTACTGTGTAAGTGTGCATGTATTCACTACGCAAAAGAAGAAACACCGTAGACCTTTATAGATTTTGTAAGAACTGCTCGAAAGAGCTATTTCAAACTGAGAGACAATTGAAATTTTCATATTCGTATGTCAAGACAAGAAATGAACTTAGTGGTCTAAATCATCACGGTTCAGCCATGCAGTGTTCTATAGCATAGCTCAGAACGAATTCAGCTATACCAAAAACATTGTGCTAGACTGTAATACAATGCAATATATACAATGACCGAGCGCAGTACAAAACGATACATATACAACATTATTAATACGGCAAAGCCCTGCCAATTCACCATTGATGTAATCAGCATACCTGGTCCAATCGAGACTCTTCCTCGCCAGAGAACTTCAGCAGATCATCGGCGTTCTTTAGCAGTACGGTACCTTTGGTCTCGGTCTTACCAGCATCCATGGGACATGCGAACACCGCCACCTTAGCCTTGCTCACACTTGTAATGTTGCCCTCGGGCGACCTTCGCACAACCATGCCCTTTACCATGGTGGTTTCGTGCACAGACGCACCGGGAATCTTTACTACCCGGATGTTGTCGACATTGAAGTTCTTCGGGTTCTGCATGGAAACATATGTGGTAAATGCTCAGCAAGGTACAACCGTATTTAGAAAACATCCATATGCATGAATATATATATATATATATACTCGTTTGGTTTTTCGTCAATTAAACTAGACAGAAGTCTCTTCTAAGCGGATAGATCAAATATCATCTCACATAGTTTCCCGAATATAATAAGAGAAATCGGGATCATGATCCGTGAATATAGACAAGGCCGTTCACTCCGGCAAAATGAACCCACCTACCTACAGATTTTTTACTGCGAGTTCCACAACGAACAACTCATGCAAGTGCGCACTACAGATATTGTCACGCCCGTGCAAAGAAACTCGACTACATTTATTTCAACTTTTGAATGCTGCATGTACACCAAGTGTGATTTAACTGGGAGTGTTTATTGAGCGGAATGTTTATTAAGGGGTGTGTTTATTAGGCAGAAATATGCGGTACATACACGGACGACGAACAAAACTACTGTTTCTCGATTAGGGACTACAACACTCGCTCTAATCTGCTACGAGCTCATGCTATTATATATATATAATGCCCTACACACAAGCGTAGCGCGAGGGATAGCGTGCACTCCCGGCGACAGGATCGCAATACACCATTTGTGCTAAATGCATCAATGCGCAAAGTAACATGTGTATGGCCATTGAGTTTCTCATTGAATTGCAATACCTTTGGGAGGATCTCGACACAGGCATCGGCGACGACCTTTGCCAGCATATCTTCGTAGCCGTACTGTTTTGACGCCAGAACGGTGCGGAGGGCTTTGACCACCTCCTCTGTGTCACGGCAATCCTTCATCTTGTAGGCTACCAGGTTCTCTTCTGCAAGCGAACGGTACCACACAACGACGACGTACGAGTTCAGCACAGAGTATTCGTATATTTTAATTCCTTTGTGAGTATGCGCACACTGGATACCTAGATACAGATCGGGGTACGCTTCGTCTTGTTATATAAACTGTTGCGGATTTCTCGACCCCAATAAGTGCTAATAGAATAGCGCGGAGACTATTCGAGCACAGCTATCTATTTGAATATACCATAGACATGCGGCAATTAATTGTCAAATGTTTAACAATTTGTACACTAAGTGATCTTGCTCCGTTTATGCACTGCAAAGACACTGAAGTAAAGCACACGTGCAAAATAGACGGGGCAACAAAAATGTACAAACTTCTAGAAGAGCCCTATTTATATCGGACAGGCGATACGCACACACAAATCAGGCAGTATATACTCCAGGTGACTTTCTGGCAGTGAGTGGTCTATAGCTCACAGACAAGCCAAACCCCAACATTGACATGATTCAGCATCGCCGCACACAGCGAAGATCGCACATGCGAATGTAAATGTAGACGTGAACACAGACACATACAACACCCTTTGGCACATGTGCACAGTGCATATTGAATATTCATACCTAGTTCGGAAAGAGCCTTGACGCAAGCCTTATCGTAACCGGAGATGATTTCTGAGGGGTGGAGACCCATCTTTAATAACTCGGTAGCTTGGTCCAATAGTTCGCCCGCGAATGTGAGTACCAAGTTGGTTCCATCCCCCAGCTCTGTGATGTAGAGGATTGAGCAGTAACGTGTAAGTACAGTACCAAACTATGCAGAACACTCTTGACTCAGCACTAGTGACACCAACCAGTTGGCCCTTCTCATCTATTCTGAATGACAATCGTATATATATATATATATAGCAATTCCGGTTTGTTTGTATTTATTTGCAGCACTATATATTGTAGTCGCGGCTTGCAGTGATGCGTGCGCGAGCCTTGTGATACATGCACAGCACAGACAGAGAAGCCAGAAGTATACGCCAACCTTGGACGTGTAATGTAAATAATATGACAAGAATCGGTAGATATGAAAACAGAGACAAGTTTGTATGCATAGGGAATATATATATATACATATCATATTTGGTCGAATAGAAACGAACCAAGCAATGCTACTATTAACAAATATATACCAAATTAACCGATCAGAAAACCTGTTTGGCAGTGCAACAACCTATATATATATATCATGTCACCCAGAATATTATAAATACTAGGCTGAAAGCTTGCCAAACGGTGGTGCCACAGTCGACGTACCCTGTTCTTGGTGCTGTGCCGCTAGCACCAGTAGCTTGGCAGCAGGATGCTCTACCTCCAACTCACGGATGATGGTGGCCGCATCATTCGTCACAAAGAGCTTCTCTAAATGGTTGATGATCATTTTGTTCATGCCATTGGGGCCTAGAGAGGTCTGTACCACCTCGAACAGCTCACGGCAGGCCTTGATATTTCGGAATACAGCCTCCTCCATACCAGACATGTGCTGTGTGGAGGTTATAACGGTTGTTGATTAGGTTAGATATCGGGGGCAGCTCTGATATTCAAGGATACGAGAGTATACGTAGAACACGCACTTTGACGCATGTGACTGTGATGAATGACCTGGGAGCTATCGGGAGTGAGTGCGAACTGAAGAATTTAAGTTAGTGTGAGAATAAAGTCACATGTGCCAGGCATGCGTTGCATACAATCCCAGACCTCACATACCCGGAGCAAATGACTATCTATAGAATTTAGTGTATGTGTGTGTAGGATTCGTGACGAAACATCGATAGTGTAAGACACATCAGTTTTGACATCTGAATAAACTAACATACATGACATGCACAAGAATGAATGGCACAGGCCTTCCTGCTGCACTGACTGGCGGCATGGAAAACTGAATAAATCAACAATTATATACTAACCACTTACGTTTCCAAAAATGCATCGTTGAAGTATAGACCAACGACGACATATAAAACAAATCAAAGCTTTATACTTATATACAGATATGAGACGAGTATATATTCTTATAAATATGTGAACGCTCGCTAGCACATCTACATACACACACATACATATATACAAAATATATATATTTATAATATAAATATATATATATATATATATATCAATCTATCTTACAAATTTATATACATATATATATATAGCTAGGGTTAGATGTAAATAGTACACACATATATATAACTGTATATATATATATATAGCTTGGGCTAGATGTAAATAGTACACATACACATATGCATAAAAACATTTTCATATATGTATATATATAGATAAATATATGCGTGTGTGTGTGTAAGTATATTGACGTAGAAGTATAAATATATGAACATGACATGTACATATATACAAATATATGATATGAACACATAAATTGATATATACAAATATGCAAATAAGGATACAAAACCCATATCAAATGAAATAAACTGTAACAAATACATACATGAATATATATATATATACAAATATATGCATATATATATATATATATATATATATATATATATATATATATATATATATATATATATATATATATATACTATATATATATATATAGTATATTATACTA